CAAAACGGTCAAAACGGATATGGTGGTAAACTTCCCCGAATCACTGGTGAAAACGAAAGACTAAATGTACCTTCATGGTCCTTCAGTGGAGGAGTACTTGGAGTACCACGGGCCAATTTTGGTAATCGAAATTTCGGACGATTTGAAAGTCAGGGAGCCAAAGAAGGAAAACATTTGCAAGTACCTAGTCACAACAAAGGAATTAAAAATGAAGGAAGAAATGTCGGAGTTCCAGCATTTAATAATGGAGGTCGATGTCTATCGTATATGGGATATGGCGAAAAAAGTTCCAAAATCGGTGGACAAATCGAAAGATTCAAAAGCGCACGTCCAGGGAGATTTGGAGGCCAGATCGGAATAGGACAGAAATTCAGCGGTCAAAACCAAGGTTTTAATGGCGGACAAATACGATACGGGAATACAGGACATACAGGATTCAATAATGAGGGAGTATATGGCGTAAAAGGATCTCAAGGCGTTGGTCAAAACAAAGGCTTGAAGGGCGGACATTCCGGATTCAATAATGGTGGAAGATTCGGTACTATATATGGCGTACCAGGTTCAAATGTCGCTGTTCAAAACGAACAATTCAACAACGGACGTCCAGGAGGATTCGGAGTTCAGCGAGGATATGTCAGAACAAGTCCCCAAGTCATTGGTCAAAATGAAGCACTGACCGAAATAAATAATTCAGGAGGACTTTCCGAACATCCTGTTTTTAGGTGCGTCTGGTGTTCAAGAAGAAGTCCCTTCCGAACCGGATGATCATTTTTAAAAAATAGTAAAATCATTTTTTACTTGTTTTCGTTGTAATGATGTTTGGTTAGGTACACAAATAAAAAATCAATACATACTATTTATTAAATGCTCTTTTTTAATTTGGTTTACGACTTTGAAGAGTATGTTACATAAAACGTACATATGAGAAGTTTTATTCTTAAAAGTGAAGTAAGTATATACGTACTGTATATAAAGGTGGCTCTAATGTTTAATTTTAAACATAAACTTTAATATCATAATTTAAAGTTGTCGATACATGTCTATAAATTTTAAAATAAAAGTGACAGATTTTTGGAAAAAGTATGATATTATTGACCCAATGTCACGCAAGTTTGTTGTTTAATTATACATTACAATAACGTTAAATTTAGATTTATTTGGATTTACTACTTTATATGCAATGGAAAAAAGACTTTTGGGAAAGTTGTTGAGAGACTAGTTTCCGCAGAAACGGACGGACAGGCGGACATGGCTAGATCGAATCGACTTCTGACTGAAATCATTATACCCTCTGCAGATCTTCATCTCCGTCGCATTCTCTTTAGCTGAGTAATGGGTTCTGATAGCGTTGTACATATGAAGTTTCGGCGTAGTCATGTTGCCTTTCTGGCACTCTGAATGCTCTTTGCCCATGCGTACTCTCTTATGCTATTTTATCGTTAAAAAATTCATTCATATATTTTCATTTCCCACAGAGCTGTAAGCGAGAGCAGTTGTGTTATTCTTCTATATTATTTACAAGAATATAAGCACTATTTTATTCAGTGTGTATAAAGATGCGTTTTTGTTTTGTATTATCTCAAAAACAGAATTATCTTCTAAATTTTTGAGTTTTGTTTTTAATACTTTAACAATTAGTAATCAAAATTTTTTTTGGTCTTTTGCAGCTTTCTTATCAAAGGTTCCAGAAACCCGCTTTCTTAAAAAAAAGCATTATGAAATTACTGGTGAGTCAAATAACTTGTAAAATAGGTATCTTAAAAATGAATTGCTGTGCCCTGCAGATTATCCTGTTTGCCCTGCTGGCCGCCACTTTGGCCAGTCCTCAAGGATTTGGCGGAGGCTATGGCGGTCGTGTCGGAACACTTCCTCAAATTCCTGGTCAAAAGGAAAGACTAAATGGACCTTTATGGTCCAATAGTGGAGGAGTACTTGGTGGTCAGAGAGAATACGGAGTTCCAGGACCCAATGTTGGTAGTCAATATTTTGGAAGTTCTGAAAGTCAGGGAGGAAATGTCGGAGAACGGATGCAAGGACTTGGCCAAAAGGATCCTGTTGCACAGACTCAGACTGGTCAGACAGAAAGTGACAGTGAGTCTTCATTTGTTTTTAAGTGCGCTTTCTGTCCGGGCCACTTCCAAGTCAAAAGTCCCTGGTCCTGATTATTTTTAGAATTGGTTTACAATTTAAGGTTTTTGTACGCCTCAGTAGGAATTTTTGATATGGAATTGCTTATGTTTCAAGCCCGTTAACATAGTCTGTTGTTATTCCGTTGAAATAATATTAAAAATGTTAGCTTAGTCTGACAAAATTCTTGCATGTAAATTTACACTTCCTGTTATTATTTTATTAAATTATTTCCAAAAATTATTGCATTATTTAACAACATTTAAAAGAAAAATTGGATGATAGCTTTTACTTGCTTCTACTCTGAGTGCGTTATCAGCTCTCTCTAATTCTTAATTTTTGGAGTCGAACGCACAACGGTTTTAAAGTCCAAATAACTAATAATATTACATTACTGCATCCATATATTGGTTGATGCTACAAAAAATTTACATATGAGAAGTTTTATTCTAAAAGGCTTTAAGTGAAAACATCTCCGCTCTGGATACAAAGGTGGCTTTAATATTACTTTTTAAACTTAAACCTTAATATTATAATTGAATGTATTTTAAAACAAGAGAGAACGCTATAGTCGGGTGCCCCGACTATCAGATACCCGTTACTCAGCTAAAGGAAGTGCGAAGGAGATGGAGATAAAAACTTTGATCCGCCGTAACTTTTTAACGAATGGTCCGATTTAAAAAATTTCTTCTACATTTCGATAGGTATTGATAAACACCATAAAACTGCATTTTTACTTTTCCGAAATATTGAAATTTTTAAAATCGTATACAAGCGATTGTGGGCGTTAGAGGGGGCGTGGCACCCTTTTGAAACAAACTTGCGCTGCGTAGGAACTCCCAGAATCTGCATGCAAAATGTCAATCCTCTAGCTTTTATGGTTTCCGAGATCTCAGCGTTCATACAGACAGACAGACGGACAGACGGACAGACAGACGGACAGACGGACAGACGGACATGGCTAGATCGACTCGGCTAGTGATCCTGATCAAGAATATATATAGTTTATAGGGTCGGAAACGCTTCCTTCTACCTGTTACATACTTTTGCACGAATCTAGTATACCCTTTTACTCTACGAGTAACGGGTATAATAAAATTGACTGATTTTTGGCAAAAATATGATATTTTCGACACATGTGACAGCATGTGAATGTTGAATGTTGAATATATGAATTGAATTGAATTGAAAATGTACTTATTTTTCGTCCCAAAAGTTTTTTTTTTACTTAAAAGTACTCAACCTCGTAAAAAAAATACCAAAATATTATATTGCTTAACCTTTTTGTTTGTCCTCCTTGCTTTGGAAGCCGCAGTTTCGAGGTAACATATCACAGTTTATCCCGTAATCACAGGCAATGGCTGTTATTGTCTAGGATACTAATGACTATAATGACGTAGGTCGCTTTTGTATATACACAAAAAAAAAACTTGGTAAAATCAACTGTAATAATTGTCAAACAGGCCCCAACCAGCAAAATTGTCAATTCTAGTAAGTAAATAGTCATTCCACAACAACAAAATACACACAATTAGCAAAGACACAAACCCAAAGCAAAAACAAAATACACGTAACTATTTTAATAGTTACGTAACTATCTTTGTTGGTCAATTTTACCAAGCAAATTTTTTTGTGTGTAAGTCCTGTATCCTATTCGCTTTCTTAAATTCATGGATAGTTTTTGTAACATGGTGGTTATTTAAATTTAAAAATTAATGTTCTGCATTTAATGAATTTCTAATCTTAAATAAGCACAACTTTTTTGGTACTTATAAATTCTTGAGTTTTGTTCATGATTTTATAACAATTAATAACGATACACTTTGCATTTTTTTTTTTGCAGTTTTTTATCAAAGATCCAAATAATCATCATCAACATGAAATTACTGGTGACTTGACTATCTTATAAAAATAGTATCTTAAAAATGAACTGCTATGCTCTGCAGATTATGCTGTTTGCCCTGCTGTCCGCTACTTTGGCTAGACCTGAAGGATTTGGCTATGGCGGTCGTCGCGGAATTCCAGGTCTCAATGTTGGTAGTCAAAATTTCGGACGATTTCAAGGTCGGGGAGGAAAAACGTCGCTGGGACTTGGTCAAAAGGAAGGAATAAATGGAGGACTTTCAAAATTTTATCCGCATGGTATACCAGATCCAGGTACAAGTGACGCTGTTCAAGGCGAACCATTAATCGTTAGACGTCCAGGAGAATTTGAAGTAAATGGTCAAATGAAAAGATCGAATAGATTAAGTTATGATTATAGGTGCTCCTTCTGCTCAACTCCCTGGCCCTGAATGTTTTTAAAATAACATTAAAAGAATTGAAAGGCAAAGGTGCTGCCACTCTATAAAAAGTTGTTTTTTTTGTTAACATTTTGGCCTTGGATCCGCGCGTGTTTTTGGCCCAATGTGCATATAACAGTTTGTGTCATCCCTATAAGTATGCTACAATTATTTAGCAATTGCGGTCGAAAAATCCTTGGGTGGAAGTACTCGATGCTTGGGACGATGTATTAGCTAAGGATGGTGTTCTCGCTAAGTCCCACTGCACCATGAGAAAAACTGGTGCTACCAGATCAGGAAAAAAGAATGGCGCCTTTATTCAAAAATTGGCATTTAATTTTTAATTGATTGATGGTTAATTCATTTACAAATGTCAAACTCAAGCCAGTCTCGGCAAAGGCAACAAAAAAATCTTCTCTCAACTAAGACATCGCTAATTTAAGCTATTCAGTTGCCAAATTATGAATTACTTTTACATGGATTTTATGTTGTTTTAATAAAGAAATGATAACAGATAGAATAGAAAAACTGGTAAAGAGATCATATAGACTGACGATTAGCGATTGCTGTGTAATCCCGGATAACAACAGATTACCAGAGGTGGCAAGTTTTCTCCGCAGGACGCATTCCACTTCCCACGGGACAGTTGAAGGCCTGCATGAAGTCCTCGCTGTTGGACAGGGCACTCATAACCAGGTTTCTTTTTCGGCGATCCCAGTGGGTATTGTCACCGTAGCAAGCCAGCTGAGCGTATCCCAAAAAGAAGAGTTGTTCTGGCAAGAGGTCGAGTTCCGGCATCTCCTCGCTGGTCACTTTCTGTTCAGGATTCTCCAGAAGCTGCCTTCTGTGACTGCGATAGGCCTCAAATGCCTGCTTCAATCCACCGTTGTCGGTAAGTACACTGAATTGGCGATATATTTTCTTTGGCAGGTGTTTAATGAAGGTATTCAGGCACTCTCTACGCTTCTTAAATATCAGATCAAAGCCCTTGTGCCAATGCCAAAGCAGTGAAATGGTGAGATGCTGGCCAATCTTAAAGCCCAAAGTACCGAATTTCAGCGAATCCGGCCAAGAGTGGTGGTAAACGGGTGGATGAAGGTTGCCGGCAAAGATGATAAAGTTGGTATTCATTCCAAACATCGCCTCCTGTGCATCAGTGACGCTAGACTGCTCCGTAGAGTGGCGGCTGCTAAATCGATGTATGTCCACTTTGAGACGCATCAAATTTATAATTGTCGCAGCGTAATTATCGTCGACTACTTCCAAGCGACGAATCTCCTGGATTAATCGATCGGTAAGTAAGTTGTATTCGCTCGAGCCCAAGAGTGTCGGTAAGGAGGATTTCTTGAGCAGCGTCTTCCGTCGAGTATCCAAGTCCAACCAATCCACTTTCTCGAACAACTTTCGCCAGCTGTTCCGAACTTCCTGCACAATTTCAGACAATTCCAACCTTTTTTCCCCAGTAAAGTTCTCCTGTAAGCAAAGAATATTTAAATATAATTATATCCTATCTTTCACTAGACTTACTGCCAAATAGAGTTTTTTGAACAGGAGCCACATGGAGGATCGCATCGTTGCAGCACAATAATCCTTTTGGTACTTGATATCCTGCAGATTAGCATCGAATGTGTAGAGTAGCTGCATGGCCAGATAATTAGCCACAGCCTCAGAGTGTCGGGCACAGACTTTGTCGAATTCCTCGAAGCCGTGACTGTGAGACCTTTGCTCCTCGTCCTTGTCCAATGCTATCTTGGAATAACTGGTAATATCGTCGTTTATAACGAAGTGATCATAATTTGTACTTCTCATCGCCTCTTTTGCCTCACGCCAAAATGCAAAAACACCTTCGATCACTTCTGCAATCTTATTCTCAGGCAGATTAAAGGACCTGAGATATCCGCGCATGCGCTTCTCATTTCGTTTGTGGAGGCGGGAAGAGTTCCTTCGCTTAATATTTCTCTCCTGACCAATGGAGTCAAAACCAAGTTCCGCCAGAGTCAGGACCGGCTTATCTCCCTGTAAGCCTGATATCGCCTCGTGGATGAGACCCCTGGCCCCGTAATTGCTCAGATGGGCGCTCATGTTGACCCAGTTGAAGTCGGAGGAATTCCAGGCTGCACCATCGACAGCGGGAAAACCCCCGATCGACCGAATGAGCCGCAGGTAATTGGGATCGGCAGCGGGAAAGGGATGGAGATCAGCCGCCAGGCAGGCGTTGTAGAATCGTTGGGCCACCCTTAGTTCGGTCGAAACATTCAGTGACTCCGCCAGATCCATTCTGCCCAACAGTTCCTTCGCCATCTCATCTAGTTCGTAGCCCATGTCGCCTAAGTTGTTAAATCGGGAGTATCGGTACAGTTCCAGATGCCGATGGTTGCCACAGGCGTACTCGTAGAAATTGTCACAGGGTTCTGCACTGAAGTTCATGTAGGACCTCATACGATTCGCATGACAGGCTAGATCACTTTTGCAATTATTTACCGCTTTCAGTTCGTCCGCCAAGGTCAGTGGAAACACAAGTATAAGCAAATAGATCAGTGATCTGAAGGAGCTAAACGAACACAGAAAAGGGCTTTTGTCTAATTCCATCTTAATCAGCGGATGTCAAGCGACTAGTTTTTCTGATTAATAAACCGACTGCTTGATTCAGCGCGTAATTTTGTAATGCAAGCTAGAACGAAATCAAACAGTGATAATGGATCTGCCAAGTGCATGCTTTATTTCTACTATATATTGTCGATTGCGTGATACCCCATAATTTATTAATAAGTTAATTACTAAAGCTAAAAAAACGAATATAACATGCTTCTTTTTCAACAAGGAATCAAATGGACAAATCCAAAAATCCGCTTATTTATTACATTTTCAATATTGTTAGTTTAATTGTAAAACAAACTTATTGACACTACGCAGAAGATAAATAAAAAGTGTGTCCCAGAGAATCTTTTAATAATATTGATTTATTTCGCTAAACTTGAAGGGTATAAATTATGTAAGTTCTTTGATACCACTGACGTCCTTGGCTTGGCAACAAAAAATTATTACAGTATTACAAAATTATTCCTTATCTTTAGAAACTGGCGCCAAAGGATTCAAAGTCGCTCTCGGAAAACCTTCAACCCTGATTGGCGCCCTTGGCGCCCTTGGCGCCTGCTGGTCACACTGGTCGGCGGGAGTAATCTGCGGGAGCACAGGCTCCAAAAACTCTGAGCCAAGTGACTGAGTGATGCCAAAGGAATGTGCTCGCCGAAAAAGAAAAACAAAAAACGGGAAAACTGCAGTCAATGTCTGGCTCATAAAATGTGCAATTAAACCGCAGTAAATGGTAAAGTTCAAGTGAAATAACAGGGGAAATACGCATAAAAAATGGCAATCAAAGGCATCAGAAATCTCCTGGCTTAGGCGTGTGTTTGTGTGAGTGCGTAGTGGGTGTGGGTGTGTGCGCGGACAACAAAATATAAATAAAACTCCAATGTCACCGAGTGGAGTTGATAAAAAAAGCGCAGCGCTAAAGGCCTTTTAATTGCCGCTGCAGTCGATAAATCATCAAACGGAACGGGAATATGAAAGTATCTCAGGAATCCAGTGCGTAAAATTAGAATGCTGCAGCAACAACAACAACAACACGCTGGCGGAGGCAGGAAAGATACAAAATAGCCAAGGAACCAATATACATATAGACATACTTACATATACATCCACGTCGTAAAGTGCGTCCGAAATGGGAGAGTGCTCTCTCGCTCTCTCTTGGAGCTCTACCCCCCTTTCCCCCTCCCCCCACTTCCCACTTCCTGCACATATGCTGCGTACAACAACAACACAACGTGCTCCTCCTGGGGATGCTGTGTGCGAGTATTTTTTTCTCAGAGCGGGAGAATAGCGCCACGCGCTCTCTGACTCCGAATCAAAGAGCGCAGCTGCACTCAGAAAAATAAGCACACTTTTCTGAAGGAAACCCTATGAGCTTGGAACTAGGAAAAGAATTTAAAAAATTGATTTAAATTTTACAGAAAATTGTTAAAATAAATTTTAAAATATTTACGGCACAAACGTAGCTTAAGGTCACAGCAGCTATAGCTACTATTAAACACCAAGGTTATAGGCAATTTATAATTTACTTTTTCACCTGACAATAAATAGATAAAATAAATAAATAAAATTTTCAAATACTACTCAACATTATATTTTTGAGCCTAGTGCCCAATTAATAGGTGAATTTTATTCTTAATAATCTTGAAGTAATTTAATTTTTAGGGTAATCAATCATAGTTTATTCCGTTTTTAATAACTTTTAAAAATAAATATTAATATTTAGTGAAACTTAAGCTTTCAAAAAGTATTTGTCTTAAAAATGCAATACAATACAAGCGTCAGCTAACCACTTTCCACTACAATACATTTCTTACAGAAGAGGATGCTAATGCCATATTTTCTGGGGTGACTTTCTGGCACTCCAGGCTATGGTTTTTTCTCTGAGTGCAGGCCTCTGTCATCGCAGCCTTTTCTGCCATGACCACGAACGCACGTCTCATTTGAACGCCAAACGTCGAGGCAAACGGACGCACGCCGGCTCGTGGAGGTGGTTGTTTGTTTTCGAAACTCGTATTCGTATATTCGAGCGCGCGTATTGAGAACCAAGTGCGAGATCGTGTGAACAGCGATATATGTGAGATATATGCGGGATAGAGATACCTTACCTAGTGCCGTAATAATCATAATACCAGCAGGATATCTGTGAGAAAGGCAAAGTAGTGAAGTGCTCGGTCATAATGAGTGTAAGCGGAGACAAGTAAACTAAAAGCGATAAGGTTTCAGCACACAAATAGACTGCCAGGATAGGGATTCCAGGGGGGCTGGTGACATGTAACTGGATCTGGATACATGTTGGCTCCTGCTCCTAAGACAACAGCCCGCTCCTTTGGTCCTTCGTCCTTTGGTCGCACTGCAGAAACGGGAGCAACAAAAGCGAGACACCGGGTAAGTAGCGATGCTTAACTATAATAAGAAACCCTTGCAGCTCGGACAGGATGGGATAGGATAAAAACAAGACATACATACACTCAAAAGGGGCGCACTGCAGTAGTCCGTCGCTTCCTGCGCCGCTAAGTATGCCACTGCAATGCTATTTTAAGGTGCAAAGTGCATTGAGTAGGAGGTGAAGTGCCAACCAGCTAACCATAACCCACACATAAACAGTGGACTACGGCGACAACACACAAAACGTATTCAAGTGTAACTAAAGACGACCAATTCACAAACAAACAAGCGGCCCAGGAGCAACTGCGGGGGCGGAGGAGGGGGGAAACGGAACCGACTGGAGCGGATCGGACGACCCTCGAACCATGTGACCGCGGGACAGGACAGGACAGACGGCGGTGGAGGGGGAGGGGGTCGACAGGGGCTACAGGGCCGCTCGCTAATGTTTATTATGAAAAGCGTGCCCTTTTGAACGCCATCGTGTATTTTTATTTTTATTTGTATTTTATGATTGCGCTTAGCCATGTGTATTTGCTGTGGCTGCGACTGTGTGTGTTTATGCACAGAAAAAAAAGACATCACTCTTGTTACACTTTCAGTAATATGAAACCCCGATAGGAGATAGAAGAATACAGTGTTACACTTACTTACTGAAATATTTTAGTTTTCAGTTTAGTTATGGAAAATGTTCTGTTATTATGGTAGACATTTAATAAGCCCAAGTAAAATCTACAAATAGATTTAAAATTCCTATAAATTTCAAAACAGGCTGTCTTTTTTACGGAGAAAATCTACGAATAGATTTTAAATTCCTTTTAATTTTAAAACAGACTGTATTTTTTGGAGAAAATTGTTATCCGAGTTTTGAAATTGATTTGATAATCATAATCGTATGTCATATAAGAAAAGGTTTGCTATCAATAACAAAATCTAAATAAAAGAGCCATTTAAAATATGATCTTATTAGTTTTATGAGACTTTTGTTTCATATCAATCGGAAGTTTAGAACATGAAAAGTTTTAATTGCCATTACCATTATCCAAACATTCTCGATCGACTTAATGGGTTTCGTATTTTTTCTCAGTACGTTTATTTTTGTTTTTCTTGTCACAGAGGGGAATTGGAGGGTGGACGGGCGGCTTTTAAGAGGCCCTCATGAGAGTGCAGCACTCAATTCATTGATAAAAGATGCAGCTACAATTATAATAACAACTCCAACCGACGGGATGCCGCGATCAACATGCCGCAATTACAGTTATAATTCGGGCATGTAACCGTTATTCAAATGTAAATTCAAATGTGGATTGCAATTACCAACCCTCCGCCAAAGCGACAAAAAACGGTGGGTCGGCGGCGAGTGGGTAACAAACAATCGCCAATTGGCATATAATGATCCCCTTTGGACGTCGAAACGTCCTAACTGACTGACTGACGTACCGCCTGACTGACAGACAGACGAAATGGAATGGTATATATGGTTTAGTATGGCAAAAAGTGGTATGGGTCTCAGACAACCAGCAGCGACATTCGGAACAATTCTCAGGCCTTGACAAATGCACGTAATGATTGGACTCACACTTTGGTTTCTGCTTTTTAACAATTTACGCGCAGCTCTTACTCTTACCCCTTCACTGGTTCTCACACTCGGCCTAGTCCATAATAATAATAATTTTAGGGGTTGTGCAAGAGCACAGTAATCGAGACTCATACCCCGTCGTAGATACAGATACAGCTGTTCCCTTCGATGGATGGGCAAACAAGGGCTTGGAGGTACATATATAAGCATGTAGGGTTCGGCTTTCGATTTTCGGGACATGGGAACGTTGCATGAACATCTTTGACTCCTGCGGTGATTAATTGTCATTCGGTTCTACAACATATGTAGAGGCCTCTACCGTTCGGGCTCCTAAAGGTTCCTAGGTTCATGGGACCGGATCGCGACTTAACCCTGGATTAGATGTCGATCGGAGAGAAAGAATAGGTTCTTTTCATTTTCTTTCGGCAACTGGCTTTGTTCCGAAAGTAGGTAGCCGAAGGTTGTAAGGGCGCAGCTCGTAAATCGTTGGATTGGGCCTACCGATCCGATCGATGACGGTGAGAATCAAGAGGGAATTAACATGCCCATAGGCGTATATATATATATATAGGTTCAAACTTTCTATATATAACAGACTCTTATCATTGCATCTTCGGCCTGCGTAGGCAACTGTGTCTATTTTTCTCTGGCTATCATCAGCTGGCATCATGTGGCACCAGTTTTGGCAACATAAATTAGGCCACGGGCATCATTTGTTAGAACCGGACACATTAGAACTTTGCTAATACGATACAAATGATAAGGGCCGTCAACAGTTGTTCACTTTGTGCTACTTGTGCGGCTGATGGAATCATAAATAATTTGTTTATTGCATGCAGACGGGGCACAAATATGCTGGCCCTGCTCCTCCCCCGCATCACATATCGTATCTACGATTGTATCTTGTAGTAACATGAGCTGTATCTGGCCCATAACTCATGCTTGAAACTTTTGTTTCTCCTTCTAATTCCTCGACAATTACGCTTAATTAATTTAAAGATGTTTGCTGTTGTCGTTCTGCTAGCATCCCCCGTTGAGTCGAGTTGATTTTGATAAATTTTGAGCAGTTATGACGGCGGCTCGGTTCGCAGCGGCAATGGGGGAGGATTTTATAAATAGATTAATTAAAATCATCTTTAATTGTTTGATTACAAGACAAGCGTGGCCCGAAAAAATGCGAAGCGAACGGAGAGCTCACAATAGCTGCCTCTATAGGTTCTCAAGTTGCAGAGCAAAGTTGTGTGGGCAAAATGCGCAACATGTGAAATACAGATGCCCCAGTCCCTTGGGCACTAAAGATTTCATTTGTGCTACAGATGTTCCGGCGATTGTACAACATAACTACAAGGAGGAGTAGCGAAACCAAGTCACACGCAATTGAGGCAGCGGCATCTGCCACGGCCACATTCATACATCCACATTCAGACATCCATGGATCCACCATCAACCATCCACCATCATCCACTTCAGGGCAGTCACCAAGCGACTGGCGCAGCGTTTCGAGTGGCATTTGATTTTAGTGCTCGAGAGTGTGTGTGCGAGTGCTCCAGAAGTATAAAAATTATTGCTGCCAAGCAACTGAGTCAGTCAGTCATCAATTATTTTATAGAATGCTCACTTGTTTTGTGTGTTCTGGCATTGTTCCCCATCCCCAATCTCCCATTCCCCGAAATGCCAGCCGAATCTGTGTTCTTGGAGTTCACTTGGAAGTTCTCGTTCGGCACAGGAAGGGCTTCTCCGCCTCTACACTTCGCCGAGGCTCCGCAATAGTTGTGAAATTAAATTGAATACGACGCCGATTATCCCACGCAGTCTTCCATTCGCATTTCCCATTCATTCGGGCTGTCTTTGGCTGCCTAGGAAGCAAGTGCCGTGCTGGCGACACAATCTCATCCACATCCCCATCCACATCCTCCTTCTACTTCGCGGAGGAGGAATCCGAGAGCTTGGGAAATCATCAAAGTTCAGCGGGACTTCGGTGGCGTCTCTTGCTCACAATATAAGATGATTACATGCACACGCAACTTGCCGTATCTGGCCATAAATCTCAAAGACTGCACAGAGAAAAAAGGACTTAAAATGAACCTTCAATAAATATTCCCCTTTATTAATATAAATATTTCTAATAATTTCAAACACACAACTTAGCCTTAAAGATACAAGTGAGTCCCATCTGTGTATCTATTTAAAAACCAAATCAAAAATCAATAAATACCCATACCATGGTTTCCGCTGATTGAATTTGGATTTAAGCAAAATAAAATGAGCAAATCCTGAACGATTTCCAGAAAGTTGTTAGCCATTCCATCGAAATTATAGGGAATGTCATTCCAATAAAAGTTTTCAGCGTGATTTAATTCAGTCCTCAGCCATTAGTCCATCCTATTTGCCAGTAATCCTTTAACACTACCATTCATATTTTTTCTGTTTAATAACAGCATAAGTAACTTAAAATTTGTTTGCAAATATTTTCCTCACTGCATGTGCGTGTGTGTCCCACAGTTTGTCATCCAGCCATCCAGTCATTCATTCAGTCATTCAGAGGATGAGGAAGTGGAGGGGGTTTCCCCGGATGCTTGCGTGCCAAAATCAATGCAGGTTTTTTATTTGCCAACGACAAGTTTGCATTCAATAAATAAAGCCCATTCCGATTATAAAGTACACCCGCAGACAATGAAATGTCGCTGATAAGAGCGCCTCTCACAATCCATTTGGCCTACTTCAGTTCATTAAAAATCTATTAAAATGTAATGTGCTCCGAGATCACTGACGCTTTTGGTCCGATAAGGCAGACAGCCAATCGATCGAATCGGGGGTATTTTTTTATTTTATGTGCCAGGCTTTGATTAATCTCGCCATCAGTTCGCCTGCTCCCGTTGTCATGTAAATATTCAGCATTATTCTTGAGAGGAGCTGCAGTAATAAATAAGTATGCTTTGTTTATAAGACCAGAAAATCTGTTCGATTTTCGCTGATGGCGCTATCGATTTACTTTAGCCGAAATGTAATTTAGCCAAGCAGCCCGGCAAACAATGAGGCCCCGAAATCTCGGCCTCGTCAAACAAAAGTCTAGACAAATCGAAAACAAAACGAGCTTCAATATCCCATCTATAATTGAATGCACACACAAAACAAAGCGGATAGAGTCGGAAAAGACTATTATAATCTGGTCAGTTACATGAGCACCGCCCGCCCACAGACATCATATATAGAATGAGCATATATAGCATTTGCCCAACCCATCTGCACACACGAAGGAGAATATTGACAGACACTCAAGTGTCCACAAGCACCCTGTAAATCCAATTGAATTACGCATAAAGGCGCTTAAGCCGAAAGAAACGACGATGACGACCCATCAAATGTATTATTTCCCTTTAACTTCTGATTACCCGATATTTTATTACGATTCGTGGTCACGACTGGTTGGGTTGCCTGCTACTGGGTAACTTTGATTTGGTGGAGTTGTGAAGTTGAGGAGTTGTGAGCTGTGGCGCATGGACCTCTAATAATAATCACTTATCGCATATCAGCGTTTCCGCAAAATTTACATATCGACTTTTACTTGATGCGCCTTTTAATGGCCCACGTTGGAGGCAATAAAATTCGTTTGAGCGGTTGGGGCTTTTGAGTTTTAACTTATGCATGATTAATACATAATTACGAAGACAAACGCATAAACTCCGACTCAAAGTGACGGGGCTCAAAGACGGGGGCCGGACTTATCGCGGTGTTCGTGCAGGCATGCCCTACCTCTCCACCTACCACTTAATAACTCTGAAAGACAAAAGGCACTTTTCCCACAGCCCGTAGAAGAGACCACGTCCTGAAAGGCCTAGGTGAGGTGCCCAGAGAGAACCGGAGAACTGGAGAACTGCAGTGTGGCGGAGCATACTTATACCTGTTATTAATATTTCGATTAGGTACCAACGATTCGTAGAACCTCGGGCATGACTTGCATGGCTAATGGGAAATTTTGTAACTTGTGACCACGCTGCCCTACACTTGGAAATTGGTCGTTGGCCGGGGCGTATTGGTCCCCTGATTGATGGAGACAACTCATCGATTGTGCTGCGAGGACAGGAAGTTAGGGACCTAAGTGCAGCCGATACATTTTCATTTTTCTATTGATCCTGACAGTGGCAGAGATTGGAATCAGGCCTACGTAAAGCAGGAAATGATATCTAAACTGAAGTATAGTATATGAAGATAGTTTCGTTTGAGAAGTGAGCATCTTTTAATGGGAAGGGAAGGGGTTGATGCCTGAGTATTTCCTTTTCCCACCCTTAAAGAATGGTTGATTCTGGGAAATGGAATTGTAAACTGACACCTTTTCTTCTTTTTTACGTCATAAAAGAGCAGGTGTATACGGAGTGTTTCATTAAATATTTAAATTATGCAATACTGAGTAAATAAATCGCCTTTTGGTATATATCCTTATAAATTGTTAGCTAAATTTTTAGTATTATAGAATTCAGTTGCTGTAATGAAGTAGTCTTCATCAATATTATAAGAAATGAATTAGTCATTCAAGTGACTTAATGACTTAATTTCCGAACCATTAGAGTGTCGGCAAGTCGTCTCGAATAGTAATAGTAAAATCCAAGTCCAAGACCATAAGTTTGTTAATGCCAGGCGTGTGCGTCAAAGATATGAACACTTTAGTCAAAGCATGGACACTTTCGTGGCTTGACAGACCGCTTTGTAAATAATCGCCTTAATGCCAAGTGCGCAAATTGCCCGGTCGTAGAAGTAAGCTACATGCACATGGCTAACTCCACGTTTCTTATCTGACTTTCCAGATCGTATTCACCACGTCAACGCAGCGAGTGTGCAGCTAATGCTAATGCCTTCGGCTCCTTCAGCTAGCTCGCCACATCGCCAGCAGCAGCAGCAACAGCAATTGCAGGTGCCCCTGCGGCAGGTGCATCGGTTTGTGCATCACAGGAAGCGCAGGACAAAGAGACACCTCCTCCACCCCGAAACCCGCCACAGAATAGCGAAGCATGGCGGTGATTAATAGAGCCGGAAATGCGATTGCCCTGCTGGCTAACCTCCAGGTAATCCTGCTGTTCTCGCTGTCAGCTTCCGGAGAGTTGGAGCTGCCGCAGCTGGACTACGGCAGTCTGTCCGCCTCCCTGGAGGAGGATGCCATCGATCCCTTAACGGCGATGGCGCCCTTTGCCAACTCCCTGGTCACCGAGGAGTCGGCGTCGCACAAGAACAACGTGGAGCTGCTGGGGAATAGCAGTGAGGACGAGAATGGCAGGCCTTCTCATGGTTCCTCCTCCACCTCGGGAGGATCATCGGGAGGAGCGGCATCGGGTGGATCGGGCATACTCCTCGAGGAGTTCAACAGTAATGGCAAGCTGAGTCCCGGAGAGGCCAGCAATACGCTGCCCATTTTCCTCATCGAACCGGAGAGTGTGTTCGTGGTCAAGAATCGGCCGGCGGTGCTCAAGTGCAAGGCCTCCCATTCGCTGCAGGTGATCTTCAAGTGCAGCGGCAGCTCGCAGCCGCCACCGTCGACGCACGAGACCCACGTGGATCCGCACACAGGGGTCAACATGGAGGAGGTCACCGCCACCATCCACCGCGACCTGGTCGACGAGTTCTTCGGCGACGGACCCTTCAAGTGCGAGTGCCACGCCTGGTCGTCACGTGGCGTGGTCAAGAGTCAGGCGGCCACCGTCCACATAGCCTGTGAGTACACTGATAACAAATCAAACGACTTTTACCTTCATTTGAGAACTATTCCATTATTTATGAAATTACTATAAGGAAGTATTGGACTTAAATACCCTTTAATTTAATTGATATAATTTTATCTTCAATATTTTTGAAGGGTTATTAATTTACAAGTTTTAAATGTCTTAATTTTGTACCTAACTTATTTACACAGTTTGTATTTTCATAATTAACAAGAATCTATTTTTGCCTTTTTGGTAAAGTTAATGAATCTGATTAAATATGATTAATTAATTAATTTGTGTATTCCGGTCGTACTATTTCATCCAAAATAATTGTAAATACTTTGCTAGCGAGTGACTTTTGCTTAAAGTGTATTTCTTGTAGTTAACTTTGCACCTTTGTCAGGGGTGGCTTTCTGTCAACAACTGACCCTCGCTTAGCTCACTTTACCCCTATCCGTATCTGAATCTATACATACATCTATATCTACATCGGTATCCTGCATCTGGCTTTTTAACCACCACAGATATTCGCAAGTCCTTCAACCAGTCGCCCACCTCGCTGCGCCTGGAGCTGGGCACTCGGGCGGAACTGCGCTGCGAACCACCCGGCGGCTTCCCCGAACCGAAGCTCACCTGGCACAAGAACAACGCGGTCATAACCGCGGACAGCGAGCCGGGGATCAGCGTTTCGGGCAGCACACTCACCTTCCGCCAGGTGGCGCTGCAGCACATGGCCAACTACAGCTGCAGTGCGGAGAATATCGCCGGCAGACGCGTCTCCGATTCCGCCGTGCTCATCGTTTATGGTCAGTATTCCAGGGGCTACAGTATAAATATATAAGTTTAATATTTGATGGATAAAATTACCCTTAAAATTCATCTTGTTAAGTTCTGAATCTTTACTTGCCTTAAACTTAATTCTTAAAGACTATAAGTTCGGAGTAATTTTTTATTAACATTAAAAATAATCAAAGAAATTTTAAATAACCCTTAAAAAACGCAATCTGCGCTTGCTTATAAGCTCAATAATCCCTTAGCACGTTAAATTGAGTACCTGGTAATCTCGTGGTCGTTGTTACTGGTCGATAACGCTCTTAATTGTTTTATTCTGCGATTCCGATTTCCACCCACAGTCAATGGTGGCTGGAGCACCTGGAGTCCGTGGCGCGAGTGCAAGTGTGCGGGCAAACCCAGCCAGGGACGGAAGCGCTCGCGGACCTGCAACAATCCAATGCCGTTGAATGGGGGCGCCCAATGTCCGGGTCCCCAGATCCAGAAGTCCGCCGACTGCGCCGCATGTCCAGGTACGTTCCTGCGGTCATCCGCAAAATTGTGGGCGCATCGAATTGCGGCCAGCCCATTATGCGGGTTTGGGTTTTGGGGGAAAACTCGGGGAAGCTTAAAGGCAGCTGTAGAGCAGCAGCAGGAAAATTGTCAATTTAAATGGTATTTTGCGGCGGAGAATCCAGCTTGGGCGCCACCTGCACATCCCCCTGCTGGAATACCTTCGGTTGCCCCGCTGACTCTGTCGATACATCTCCTGGAGCGTCGAGAACAACGCGTATTTTTCACACCAGCGAGGAAAGTCGGATTTCGAGGGGAAGGTGCAGAGTGGCAGGGACAGTGGTCCAAAACACAAAGCACTGCACAACGCAAAAGTTCAGGGGGCGTTTCACAAAACAAAAGGAAAAAAATAAGATAAGATAAGCTCAAGGGTCAATGCGAACTAGGCATACTCTAAGGATTTCGGTGATTATCATAATCCAAATGGGATGGGATTTACATAAGTGATTAGAGTGCTGTTCCAATTGATTTGGGGGAACAGGATTTGCGTGGAATATTTAATTATTTTATTCATTAGAGACTAATCCAGATAGAAATTCAAAATTCCGCCACTTAGTTCCTAACAGTGTTTATTAAAATATAAATTAAACAAAATAAAAATCGATAGGTTGTAAGATATTTCAATGTGTAGAAATACATACAAACTTTTTATAATTTTCCAAACAAATCGTACACCATTGAAGTCATCAAATTATTTTAAGCCCAGAAAATCTCTGTTATATTAATTTTGAAATAGTCCTTCTGAAGATTAACAACTTAATACACACTGGTACTAAATATAGACCAACCCCTCTGGATAGTCAGCATACCCAGTGCGAGCAATGGTATAATACATTTTTGAGTGAGTGCTGAGTATTTCATTTTAAACACGCATTCGGTGCCTTGGATTGGATGGACCGTCGACAGATATCTCCACATGCGAGCGTATATGGCGCATATAGATGGATAGATTGGGCCGCCGACTTTGGCAGTGGGGAACGCCTGCCGTCGGCGTGCCACCGACTAAATGGTGACAAAGGAATGAAGTTGGAAGGAGGGTAAGGGATCTGGGGTCTTGGGACTTCGAACCGAGGATGAAATCTGGAATGGAATGGTATGCTATGCCATCGAATGGAATGAGGTGCTCGGTGGTAGCTGTGGGGCGCTCTTTTTGACAGACGCACGGGCGGCATGTGTTTGAGACTCTTCACTTTTATTCATGTAAATTTATTGTATTGCCATTGTATTGTATTGTAGTGCCCGAGCAGGGAGACACTCACCCACACGGAGATTTCGTAGGATACTTGGCCAGGCGCACAGCGGGCACAGCAATGAGCAATTGTTGACAGACAAGCGGGGCAAATGGGAATGGGAATTGGAGTGGGTAGTGGGGTATATATATATATACTCCAGAAGGGAGAGGCTGCCATTGTGGACTCGGGTATTTCTTTTCTATGAAAAGTGTGTCATAAAATTAATTTTAAATTTCGCTTGGCTTTCGTTTTTTCCGGACTCCTTCCTACCAACCATCCGACGACTTTTCATCCCCATGGAACCGTGTCAACCTTATGGTCCTGCTGCCACGCCACGCCCACCAACGCCTATGATTATCCTGTCGTCCTGACGTCGCCACTGTCGCCTGCCAACAACAGAGGACACTCAAATCGTGAGCCCTGATGGATTTGACATTTCGTCGAGTAAGCGCAGTAAGTTGAACCGAAAGCCCGACAATGTGCATTTCCCTCAAAGGGTTCCCATCCCAGGAGATATTTGGGGGAAAGGGTGGGGGGTTTCAGAAAGGATTCAATACGACATTGTGTTCGAGCAGTTAAACTTGAATGTTTAACGAGCCGACGACAGTTAAATTCTTTTTAGTTGGGTTGGGGCATTTGGGGTTACCCCCGTTATCCACTGGGGCCTCAACAATCCAATAAACAATCGTGTTAAAGCGAACCGAAAGCATCAGCATCCAACCAACCGTGGCGTCATTCGTTTCGGGGTTTCCCCCGAAAAATCACTACTGCCCTATGCTTCAACTGGCTTTAACTGATGTGACTTACTTTTCCATCGCCAGTGACGTCATGGCGGCAAGATAGCAACTTAAAAATCACTTACCACGACTTACGCTCTCTGATTCATGCAACAGTCTGAGTCTAGTTTTTGGGGTTCGAAAAGGATACGTCCAGGGATGGGTATTGACAGCAGGGGATGGGGGAGACCAGGATGCGGCGGGGGAAACTAAATGCCTGGCAATGTGATGATGGCTGGCGACAAGTCCGGAATTCTGTGCGCCCCTTTTGGGGGTGGTTTTATGTTTCCAAAACAGGAAGTGCCAAATGCCGATGTATTTATGCCAGTATGTGTGCACACTGAGCGAAAAGTTGTGTTTTGTGTGGAATGGGAAATTAAAACTTATAGTTCTATGAGATAGGTAGATTTTTTTTATTTTTTTAAATACCAAATGAAAGAGAAAACTATGCAGAAACGTTTTTTGAATAAAAATAATAAACCATAATATCAAAAACATATTAAATATTCGAACTGTTAAATGCTAATATGTTTTAGAATCAGTTTTGTATTATTATTTTTTTTAATTTTCATAAGTTTTATATTTTTGCTCAGTGCATGGCTGTCGAACATATATTTCAGCTGCCATTGGCATGCATCACACCATGAACATTTTTGGCTTTTTGTTTAGCTTTCGGACTTTCCGTTTTCGGGCCCCCCTAAAAGAAAGCAGGGAAATTGAAATAGCAAAGAAAATGCGAAAATAGAAAAGCATTAAAATGACAATCACTTTTACTCACCCACCCACCCACGCACAAACCCCAAAAATCAACAGAGGCGGAGTTCCAACGGGGGTAACACAAGAAGTATAGCAATCTGGGAAGGAGGAAGACCCACTAATTTTATGGTGGGAACAAACTTTCGATTTCTCCCCATGGACCATCTATTAGAGTGTAATTGTGAGGAAGCCAAAAGAGGGGAATGCCACGTCCACGTCCATGATTATGGAGTATACCCCTGCACCCCTCCTTAGAATGATATATGACCCGGGGAGTGCCGCTGTCGGGAATGTGTGCTAAATCATGTTAATATGACTTTTGATTTCTAAACTGCCTGTGCCTTCCATTTTCAGTGGCCCGCTGGTCGGCGTGGAGTGACTGGAGCATCTGCTCCGCGGAGTGCATTCAAGTGCGTCGCCGGAAGTGCCTGACTCAGGGCCAGACTCAGATGCAGAATTCCGAGGCGGAGGAAGCCGGTGATCTGCTCCTGGGAGCCGGAGTGGGCATGGCCGCCCTCATCGCCGCCGGAGGAGGAGGAGCAGGAGCAGCAGGAGGAAGCCCCAGCGACTCGGCTGCTTCCAGTTCCGACATTATCCCAGGATATGGCAAATCATTGTGCGCCGGAAAAGACATACAAACGGCCGAATGCCGCGGCGAGCAGTGCCAGATTGGCAAGGATGGTGAGTCTGTGCTTATGACAAGGATGAATGCCAGGCGGGCAGGAGCAACAAAGTAGACAGTTGGATAGAACAACAATAACAGTGGGGTAGAGGATGCAGGATTCAGAATCCACAGAATCCTTGCACAAAAGCCGAGCACTCAACGCTGATTGTCACAATGGGAAATTAACCAAGTACATTTGTTTGTGCACGACCACGAAGCTTATTTATATATAGAAGTATAGAAAGTATAGATAGGACAGTTCACCCCCAAAAGGACCCCCAGCTCTCTAAACTTGCGACTTCCAATCCCAATCCCGAAACCCAATCGAAGAAGGGTCGCAAATCAATCGCAGCAGCACTTGGAATTGAGATTTAAGTGGGGGTCCTTGGTCTGCTGAGGGTTTATATGCTTTGCCAGATAATTAGGCGTGCGGCAAAGACAGCAGCACCCAGCCCCATTTGCCACCCCAATTGTGGGCTTTTCCCGTCTCATTGTTGCTGTTTGCGCTTCGATTTTCATCAGTGGGGGGGAGGAGTGGGAAAAGTGTGCGATTGACCCAACTCAAACATAGTTTTGTGCGGTCCATGGGGATCAATTAGATGGCTGTCACAGTGTGTAATTGAAAGGATCAGGATACAAGGAGTTCTTGGGTTGTTGGGGGTTATCTTTTGGCAGGTTTGTCTTTTATTTGATTGCCTGCTGAAAAGTCTGTGCAGCTTATTTTCGATTTTATTACGATTGGGTAAAGCTCAAGCAATCCTGGGGCTTAAATCCCTGGGGCCACCGATACCTGCGGCTTCATCATGGCCCATTGTCAGCATTCCGTACTCAACCATCTGATATTAAAAGCGTATTTGTCAGGCCAAGGAGACGAATCCCCCTTTGAAGTCCCTTGCAGGAGGAAAAATCATAGAAAAAAAGTACAACAAAAAAATCTAAAAACCAGCATGCAAAATGCACAAAAGCAAAGGGAAAACGAAAGCCCCGAGATCCTTGGAGTATTCAGTTCCCTGTTGGGGATGCTTCCAAGAATAGGGACTTTAACTTCAACTTCTACTGCTGCTTCCGATGCTGCCGCTGATTTACAGCGAATATAATTGCTCATTTCATACATTGTATAATGCGTCCGCCCACCCACAATTCCCACTTCCCACTTCTAGCCCTGCTCCATGGAGCCGGTATAAGTATACGGCATGGCATAATAATCATAATATATACTGAGTAATTCCTTGCGCTGCAGCGATTCCTTTTTGGCCAACCAGTCACCGCCAGCGCCAGCAACAATGACGACAACAATCACAGCAACGGAAACAGGCAGCGCAACAATGGGCGTCCAATGGGTTGGGAGGGAGGATTGGATGGCTATGGAGATTCAGAGATGGGGACTGGATATGCTGGGATGTCGGGCAACTGACTGCTGGCGACGGGGGGCCGCCGGCGAATAATAATGCGAAATAGACGGAGCTGGACGGGGGATGAGCATACAAACATAAAACATTAAATACAGACATACACAGTGCTCTGCTCCGCCAGATACGGATACGCATGGCTGCCCGGGATTGATGACAATGGGTGAGAGGATGCCTGTTTGGTTATGGAAAAGTTCAGTTCGGTTTGGTTCACTTCAGTTCGGTTCGGTTCGGTTTCGCTTTTCGGGTTGACTCAACGTCCATGAATGTGTGGATTTCGCTTGGCAGGCATCCTGAAAAGCCATGAGGGTGGCGGATTTACGCAGAAATCTCTTCTTTTTTTTTAATGCCCAAGCACACAAAGATTGGCAATTGGTAGGGGTTGGGGTGGCAGCATCTTGGTTCACAGCCTGAAATTGCAGGCAGACTGGCTTTATTGCCATTCGGTTCTCTAGAAGGTGAACGGATTTTGAAGGACCACTTTCGAAGATGAGCTCTAAAATACCCAGTAGTTGAGTCACAGTCATTGGAAGAATAGGAAAATATCTAGTTGAAAGTGTTAAAATAAAGAAAAAACATTTAAAATAGTATTCATTTCATAAATTTTTTTTTTTTTATAAGTTTTTTTTAAGGAATATCTTAAAGATCCTTAGTTATTTCAATATGTTTTCAAAGTACAAATAAAGCTAGTAAACTGTAAATTAAGAACATTTGGAAGACTGTTAAATAATATAAAGAACTAAGGTGCCAGGACACCCTCTATCAACTCAGATTACAGGGTATAATCAGCCGATTCAGCAGTTTAATTTGAATGCGCATCGTTTCGCCATTGCAGATTTCGATTGGACCCTCTATCTGGGACTGGCCTTCATAACCGCGGTGTGCTTCGCCTTTGGGACCGCGCTCATCTGCTGCGCCCGCCGTGGCATCCGCACCAATCCCCATTACAACATGGCCCGTTCAGGTGAGTTGAAAGGACTCCGCTCCTTGCCGATTTCCGAGTTGCGTTGCGTACGCCGCCAGCAAATTGACCGTGTGTATTTCGACTCCGCTTTGCAGTAATGGACGCGGATTATATGCCCGGCGTTGTGGAAAAGAAGGAGATGCGCATGCACATCGAGGCCAACAACATGGGATACGATTACGTCAATCCCGGACATCGCTATTTGCCCGGCGAGCACATCATGGGCATGGGCATCGGCTGCGGAGGAGGCGTCACCGAGCACCACTACGATGTGCCCAATCTGTCCGCCAAGTAAGTGTACAAATAAGCCATAAATGTTATTAGTTTGCCCTCTTATATGTCCTTTTTATCCTTTGGGTACTCTTGAGTCTTGATTTGGTTACAATATGGTATAAATACGCTGGCAATAAAAGCAGGCAGGGACATACAACATTTTAATATTAACGGATTATCTTCGCTTTCTTCGGAGTTTTTTCAATTTCAACACTTTTATTTGGCAGGGAATTGAAAGTCATACTTCTCTGCTTTTTTGACTTTTAATTAAAGTTTTAGTTACAAACATAAGCCTTGAAATAAACAAAATGAACTATAAAGAATGGCTTTAAATTTTATCTGTGGCTCTTACAGTTTTTTATGTGTCAGTTCTGAATTCTTAATTTCTAATACCTACTTGTTCATGACAAGAATATGACTCATGAGCCATTAAAATTCCCCTAAAAGGGGCTATAGTTATGCGGTTTTTAATATTCTTGGCACGATATTTTTTGTGCTCACACCATAAATTTCTCTTGCTGTGTTTAACAATGTGTTGACATAAACTTTTTAATCTTCAATGAACATAAAATACTTTTGTAAGCCCCAAGACCAATAAAGGATGATTTTATTAATTAAGGTTGGTTTTATCTTTTAGCTACACCAATCCCATAGACCATCTGAGCGTGGATTATCTTTCAGAGACGGGTGAATCCTCCACCGCTGATACCTGTAAGTAAAACAGATTTAACATATGCGATTTAAATTAAATCATAATTCTTACCCATCAGCCAACTCCACTTTCGATATGAACGGCAAGCTGTCCATACTGAACGCCTCGAAGAGCAGCAGCTACGAGCTCCTGGGCAGCGCAGGAGGACAACTGCGCCTCTACGGCGGAGAGCTGCTGCTCTTTGTGCCGGAACATGCCATCGGAAAGCACCTAAAGAAGCACGTTTCGCTGCTCCTGCTGAGCGACGAGTGCAGTCGCATCTCCTGCGCCACCGAGAGCTCCATCCTGTGCAGCAGCGTGGTGCACAGCGCGCCGCGAAACTACAGCTTCGTCAAGCCGGTGATCCTGAAGATTCCCCACTGCCTGGTGGCTCCGGAGCAGTGGCATGTCCACATCTACCATGCGGACAGCGAGCACGACGAGCTGAGTGTCAACTGGCGGCGGGCGGTATCCGTTGGCGAGGAGACCATCAACACGCCCATGTTCGTGCAGCTGGAGGCGACGCATGTGTTCATTATGACGGAGCAGCTGGGACACTTCACCGTGGTGGCGGAACCGAGGATTCAGCAGCCCGCTATCAAGATGAAGCTGCTGGCCTTCAGTCAGCACACGCCACCCAGCAGCGCCAACTGCAGTTTGCGGATCTACGTGGTCAAGGACTTCCCCAACAGCCGGGATATCTGCGCCAATGTGGAGGCCAAGCTGGGTGGCAGCTTCCTGGGCGAGAGCCAGGTCTTTGCCTTCTCGCTGAACAGCCGGAATCTTAGCATTCGCGTGAGGAGTGCGGATGTGGAGGCGGCAGCACCGTATGAACATGCCATTCCCTACCAGCACATCCTCAGCAACAACTCCATCCTGCACTGCGAGTTCAGCCTGCGGCGGCAGGATCAGAATACCCTGTGCGTGGACTTTGGCCAGGGCAGCGAGGACGACTACTACACCTTCAACATTCCAGCCCACTGCATGAGCGGATCGGCGGAGGAGCTGGCCTCCACCACGAACACCACCATCTCCATCGATCGCCAGGGCAACTATGTGAACGAGAGCTGTGTGATGGACTTTGTCCAGCTGCCGCATGCCACGAAGCGTCTGATCTGCGCCGCCTTGGATCCTCCGCGGGCGGATGAGCGGGACTGGCGACTGCTGGCCAAGAAGCTGAATACGGACAGGTACATCGCCTACTTTGCCACCAAGGCCTCGCCCACCGAACAGATCCTGAACCTGTGGGAGTGTCGGGCGAACAGCAACCCCGGTAACAGTTCCAATTCCGTTTCGCACACGATAATGGCGCTCCTGCTGACGCTCAAGGAGATGGGACGCCAGGATGTGCTGGACATCATAGTCGAAACCATAGGTCCGTTGTGGATTTAAGGCGGCCAAGGCTTGAAATTTGGCGGAAGGGGAACCTGAAACTAAAAGGAAAAGCTTTAGAACTTCAATTTCAAACTAATCGTTGAATTTCTCTGTTGAGTTTTTAAAAGTTTTTCCCAGTTCCACCCATCTTCACCCTGTTTCCAGTGACAAATCACTATTTGTTTCCAAAGATAACTTATCCAACAAACATTTAACACCTAAGAACTGAACCACCTGCAAAGTTTGTTAAAGTGAAAGGGGAAAATCAGCGTTAAAAACAAAAATGTTCATGAGTTGCCTTTTATTTACAAAATGTACGAACGACGCGAACGAAAAAAAAAGAAAACGAAACGAAATCTGGAAAATTGGAATCGAATTGAAAGGAAATATTGAATCAAAGTGTAGCTGTAGTCATAGTCACTAAGTTACTGTAGTGTTGTGTTCTAAGGTAAACTTGCTCAACGAACTCTGTTCCCTATGGGTGCCATGCATTTTATACACTAAACAGGAAGAATGTAGCGTTTAATTATACTTGTGGCTTAGCAAACTTATAGTTTTAAACACTAAACTCTAGTATTACGGATCGAGAAACTGTTTGTGTACGATACGACAGCTGTAAGATATATAACACGAAGTAAGAGTAAATTATGGCCAACTAGGAAAGACAACTGTTTGCCAAATCGTTGAATTTCTCAGCCGACTCTAGTTACGAATAGTCACTAAATACGAGCAGAGCAGCATTTAGTAATCAAAACTAAGCCATAGCACACATATACCCGAAAGTATGTAGCCTCTCAAATTATATATATAAAGCGTACCCGTGTATCTATATTTAGCGTACGATCTAGTAATCTAGTTATAGTTATAAAACAAAACAACAAAACGAGTAGCTTGTTAGACATACTCAAGTGATAACCTTTGTATTTGTCTCTAGTTTTAAGTCTGATCCTGTCGTTTAATCGTTAATCAAGTAAGCATTTACAGAACAATGACGTATACTTAGTGGCTCAAAAGAAAAAGTTGAATAAAATAAAAAGTGCAACAATAGTTTATCTTACATCTATTCCGGCTTTTGTTGAGCCGAAGCAACTTCCTCCTCATCATCGTCGTTGTCCGTGAGCATTGTGATATTTATGAGGTGACGCATGGTGGGTCGTCCATGTGGACAGTTCTGCGAATCGGAAACAATAAGCCAATCTTGTTCTCAAAATCTTACTGCAGTAAGTTTACCCAAGGCTGTTCAATTTCCCCCATTTGGGTGATGAGTCTCCTCATCGTTGTGTTTCTGTTGAGAGCAGTGCCAATCATCACGGATTTCCGGCAGGCTCGAGATGCGAACATGGCACGCACCCTGGACGGACGACAAATGGTGCCCTCGGGCGCATCTTGCAGCATGAAGATGAGCTCGTCTATGTCCTCCTTACCGAATTCCCAGCGTTTGCTATGAGGCTTGCCCAACAAACGCACCTTTTTCGTGGCAGGAGCTGAAAGGAATAAGAGATTATCAGTAAGGAAACTAAATAAAATTCCAAATCCTACCCTCGTGATTTATCTCAAACTTAAACCCGTTCTTCTCAAAGACCGGAAGGTGGTCCATGAGCACCATCTCGTTTACCGCAGTCAGTTCCAGATTTTGGGGCACCGTCAAGCGCTGATACTCCAACTGAGTGGTGCGCTGCAGTGTCTCAAAGTTGTACTTCTCATCGGTGGCATGCTGGTCCACAATGAAGAGATCATCCTCCAGTTTGACTATGATAAAGCCCAGATTAAACTGTCCTATGATGTCCATGCGGGCAAAGTCCTCCTTGCCTATTTCCCGCTGCAATTCGGCCTCCGCATTGTTGTTCTGGTTGGGATTAATTTCGGTCTTAAAACGTAGACGTTGTAGTTTGGCACGTGCTTTTCGATCCCGCTGCAGAGCCTCTTGGGCCTTTAAGGATGCAGCAATCTCCTCCAGCGAGGTGGTCAATTCTCCGCTTGAGAAATTGGCAGGCGGTCCCTCCTCGACCCCTTCATCAAACTCAATGCGTGTGGGCAGCTCAATGTGGTCGTCATCGTCGCTGACTATGTCGGTTTCTTGGGATAACTGAGGAGAGCTGGGAGGTTTTGGATTGGTTTTTGCCGGGGTGTCTTGTTTGGTCAGTGAATTTGTGTCTTTCTTGAACTCGGCAATGCTACGTCGACTTTTAATCGGCGTCAGTACCTTGCAATCTATGCGAGGAACTCTGGCAGGTTGCGTCAGAAGATCATAGGCTGTAGAGGGAAATAGACAAATTACTATAGGATATTTTAGTCTTAATTGCTTTCTCACCTTCGGACTCCTTAGCCATTTCTTTAAGGTTCAGGAAACTATCATCCAGATTGCCCTGCTCCTTGTTCTCCTTTGGCTTTTCCACATCACTCGCTTCTTCAGTTTCCGACTCGCATTTCGAGCTCTGCTCCTTCGGCGACTCTTGGCTGAGAAATGTATGAATCTTTTGCATTTTCAAGGATCGCGTGGCTAACTCCTCGGTTTCACTGCATCGCCGTTTAATGGGAACTGGTGGCGCCGTACCTTTTGTGTCGCCAGTGCGTCGCCACTGGGTGAGCACATCCATGAATCTCTGCGATGAGCTAATAGGAACATCTTCATCAACCGTTTCTTCACACTTTTCCTCCTTGCCAAGCTCTTGAGGGGATTCAGTTTTATCCTGCTTTATTTTAGGCTCCAGCATGCTCACAATGGTGGTGTTTTGCATTTGAAAAGTAGCTGGCGTTTGACCAAAGGTGTCCAGCAGGGACTTCTTCAGCGCCAGCAGGAGAATCCGCTCGTTGTTGATCAGCAATTGGCGCTTGTCGGGCGTGAGATTCACATCCACATCGGAGCGGGCCGTGATTATGTTCAAATAGATGAAGGGCTGCTGCTGGACATTATAGCGATGGTACACCTCGTTCATTACCTTGGCTATCTGTAAGGATTACAATTTAATTTATAAAAGTACTTAACGAACGGTTATATCTTACATTCTTGGGATCACAGGGTCTTGAGTTGACGAAAAAGTACTGACGATCTCTGCTGGAGCGTCCTGCGCCATGACGACAGCTGGAAATGAAGCCCTCCAGTTGGAAGTCCGCTTGATTGAGACGCTCCACATCCTCGGCACTGAATTGCGTGCAAGTCGTATCGGCTGCATCTGCGGAAGATTCGAGATCTGCCCGGAGGGTCGCCTCGCTTAGATGACCCTGCTCGAAGGGCGACTTCAGGGGCACCAGATCCGCCGCCTGGCGTGCTCCGAATATGGCCGATATATTGGCCATGACCTCCTGGTTGCCGTGTGTTTGAAGCACCACCGTTTTAGCTCCTTTGGGTGTCTGATTGCTGCAGAGGATGCGCACACCCTTGGTGACCAGGCAGTAGGCCTGCAGGATCTGGCACATCTTGGTGAACTCTTTCTTAATATTCCGCGTGAAGTCCCGTCGACGAACGGGCAGAGTGGCAAAGAGATTGGCCAGGCTGACGGTGGTGCCAATGCCGCGGGCGCAAGGAGAACGCTTCTTGATCCTGCCCTCGTGGTCCAGTTCCACTTTGATGCCTGGAAATTGTAATGGGTTTTAGTGGGCTGCAGTATAGGGAGTACCCATGGCCAGGACTCACCCACTTCGGTGGACTTGTGCCGCGTTTGGATCACCATATCGGACAAGGCACAAAGGGAACTCAGGGCTTCTCCACGAAATCCAAAGGTTTCCACGCCCAGGAGATCCACGAATTCCCGGATCTTCGAAGTGTGATACTTGGCCGCTGTGGGAGGTGGGATTAGCTTACTTTCTTCTGGTTACATATATGTACCCACTCATGCCCTCCAGATTCACTTCCTCCACGCCACTGCCGTTATCGCTGACCTCCACGCCCTGCAGGCCCTGATCCTTCAGCTTGATCTCCACCAGCGTGGCACCCGCATCAATGGAGTTCTCCACCAGCTCCTTGACGGCCACTGCCAAGCTGAGAACCACCTGAAATGGTTGAAATCCAGAGTTTACCGGAGAAAACAAACTAGGAATCCTATAGTTTACCTGGCCGGAGCAGATCTTGTGCACTGTGTCCTTGGCAATGGCCTTGATCTGGCCCGAAATTGCGGATGTCGGTGGTGGCACCTCCGCTTCATCCTCCTGATCCCCATTCGGTTCGTTATTCATCATTATTCACGCTCATTAAACAAAGTTTTTATTTCCCAAAATTTTGGCGGTGCACGGCGCAGTGTGCCCAGACTGAACTTTTTTGGGAATCACTTCCATATAAGAACTAAAAACATTACAAGCTAAAAAATACATGTAGAAGGTACTTGTGTAAAATACGACAGAGGGCGCTACGTAAAATTATCACTGTCTACACTGGTTAACAGAAAAACGTTATTAATTTTAAAAGAGGTTTACCAACCCGAAACTGCCGGCAAAAGGAATAATACTTTGATCACAATTTTCCCAAAACTCAAACTGCATGTTTCTTGGTTAGTCATCTACGGTAAATTCCAGAGAGCTTTTGCTTGGGGTGATTAAAATCGGGATTTTATTAGCTTGTGTTATCAGTAATTACCAGCCATCGTATTTTTAAATATAATATATTTAAAAAAAAAGTAGGCCCACTCTATAAGCGTTTTTAAAATAAGAAAAACTGTTATAGTTTGGTTTTTTTTTTTGATTTTTTAATTTCTTTTAATTTCCTTTTTTATAAGGCTTTTCCATCACCACCAGTATGGGCGTCTTTGAAAAGGATTCCCTCCGCACCAGCTACAATTTCGCTTCTGCCTTTTGAGTGCTCTAGGAAATCGTAAGGTAAAAGAAAAATCATTTGGCCCATGCTGTTGAAAATCATGAATGGTGGGACTCGGGTCTTCGACTTGAAACATACCACAACACCATTTTGCCAAAGCAGCAGGTACTAAGGCAAGCAGAAAGATCTGAAAGAAAAAGGAATTTTAGCTGGTGACACTCCTTTCACTGAATAGTTTACTCACCAATAATTTCATGCTGATTTAAATTTATGAACTAAAGTAAATTTCGAAGACTTCATAGCTCTTTTATACCCAATCTTTATGGCGCATGCGACGACATCAGAGATTCTCAAAATCCCTCATTAAATGATGTATTCGCTGAAAAAATTTTAATCTCATCTGAAATCGTTTTCAAGAATTTCGTTGACATTATCTTTCTTGAAAACTATTAAAACCTATTAAATAGTAAGACAAAATTCCCATTTAACAATAAATCAAAAAATATAACTCAAATTAAGAAATCATTTCCCCATAGCGAGAAAGCTCCTAACTCAAAACAAACTTAAATGTGAAAATAACTAATTTCCAGCAAAAATATTTATTTATTCAACGTGGTACAACATGAAAAATGATCTTAGGCCTACTAAATATGAATGTATAAACGCTTGGTCCAAAGAGTATAGTAATAATGATTGCGTGGGTAAATGTGATGAATCCAATTCTGGTTGTCAAGGTGTTTGGTCGGTGTAGAAATGTCAGAAGGGTTGGAACACAAGGAGCTTAGCCTAATCCTTTTGTTTTTCTTTTTTTTTAATATATTGGCTAGCTAGTTAAACAAGTACTTAAAGATATGTCTGGATGTAGCCACAGGGTCATTGCTCGACGGGGTCCCGCGTCCTCCTGGTTCAATTGCTCTTGGCGTTCGCCACGCTCTCCAGCTTCTCGATGATCTTGTTCATGTCCATATCCTTGGCGACCTTGAGGTACATGGTCTTGCGCACCTCGTGGAAGGATGCCCAGCTGGGCAGCTCCTTGGCGAGCAGCTTCAGATGGGCCTCGATATCCTGCGGCGTGAGGTTGGCCCGGAAGCTGTTCTGGATCTTCTTGATGATCACTTCCAGGGTGAGCACGCCCTTGCGCTCGGTGACAAAGACGTTGCGCAGGTGTCTGGCCAACTCGGGCAGGCGTGAGTACTTGGTGGCCTCCTGGTCCTGCGAGGGTCGCCGGGTCATCGCCTCCAAGGCCTTGGCCGCCTGCTTGGCGCGGATTTTCTCGATCAGCGACTTGGGCAGGCCCTTCAGTAGATTGGAACTGGCATCCGGTGGAGCGGTGCACTCCTTCACCGTCGGCTTGGCAGTGGCAATCTCTGGTAATCTTGTTATGCCAGGCATCTCCTCCTTTGCCTGCGTTCCCGTGCTTTTCTTGCTTTCCTCTCCTGGTGGCTGCTGCTCCTCCTCTGCCTTTTTACTGCCTGTAGCCGCAGACTGCTTGTCCGCCTCCAACTTGGCCTCATAGCGATCCATTGCCCGCTCCATGGGCGTGGCGCAGTTGAAGAGATTTCGAGCCGTGGAGAGAATATCCTTGGCCGAGGAGTACTTCTCCACATTCGGCGGCTGGGGCAGCGGGGCCAGCTCCACCTCGGGGCAGCTCTCCAGATCGAACTGCGGATGCCAGCGGGTCAGCGCCTTCTCGATGATGATCGGTGGGTCCTGGGAGCGCAGGAATTGGTCGTGCGCCCGCATCACCCGATCGAGTAGAAGGCTCTGGAAGCGCTGCATGCGCGCCGTCATGACGTGTGGATTCATGGACGTCGACTGGGCCGACGCGAGCACATCGTCCTCGTCGATCTTGCGCTGCGGCTTCTCCAACTGCTGCTGCTCGGGCAGGGGCTCCACATTGGGGCTGATGATCAGCTGGAAGTAGTCCGCCTTGGACACGGAGCCAAAGTTGCGCATCTTCATCTGGCTGAAGATAAAGGCCTCCGGATAGATGTGCCTGATCTGGGCCAAGTGCGTTTCCGTGAAGTTCTTGCGCAGCATGCGTTGCACTGCGGGCTTCAGCTTCTTGTAGGTGATGGTCTCCTTGCGATTGTGGAACATGGCCACCACGGAGTCGAGGCCCTTGAAGACGTCCAGCAAGTGACGGTACTTGTACGGTAACGGGAGCTGGCCGGCACGGCTGCTCTCCACCAAACTGGCGTAGCGCTTGTAGGCCGGAACCTCGACCAACTTGACCGGAGATCCATTCTTGGCCGGACTGAAGAGCAGGCGCTTCGAGACGTCCGTGTGGCGCGGCGACATGAGCTCATGTTTGTCCGGTGTGGGTGGCGGCAGTTTTGTGGGCGTCTTAAAGGTCTTCAAGGGACTGAATGGGAAAATAAAGGAAAGCCATAAGTAATCTGGGTCATGATTAAACTGTAAAACTATTATTTTACAATTCAACATTATTTGTATAACATAGTTAAGAAGTATTTCTAATAACTATCTTTATATTTATATAGAATTCCGCTAGCAGTAACCGTAAATAATAATTATTTATTTGATACAAAAGCAAATAAAATTCAAAGATTATATTTTGACTTTATTTAAATCATAAACAAAATAATTATAATTTATTGGTTGTTTTTTTTTTTAGCTCAAAATACAACACAAGCTAGATTAATGTTTTTTTTTATGGAATTTTTAAAAATATATGAACTTATTAAGCGGAAAATAAATAATCATTCTTTTATGACTGATTTCTTTTGCTCTCAATATGCATAATTATTAATTGAGTAATTAACACATCATGATTACGGTCTCTGATTTCTACGGAGTTAAGATCTTTTTGTAAGTAATTATAATTGTTCTTTTAAAACCATTTACAAGTTATTAGAAAGTCTAATTTAAAAAAAAAAAAAACAAAAACAAATAAAGCCATAAAATTAAAAAAAAAAGCTAAAGTTTGTACAGAATAGTTCATATGTATATTGAGATCATTGCTGTTTGGACTCCTAGCTGTAAATTTCATTTCAAGTATTATACATATGTGAAAAACCAAAACAAGCGTTGAAGTCCTGTTTTATCAAACCGGTTTTTCTAAGGAAAAGGGAAATCGCCTGCCCATTCCTATTCGAATATAGTTCCTATTTGGTGCTCGGGACGTTCCTTCAAGAAAACCGTTACGAAAAAGGTTGCTACCTGAACCGAGGACCCAAAATACAAACAATTATACACATTCCCATGCAGTACAGCAGTTAAGATCCTTATTTTCCGAGAGAGAAAGAGCGAGAAAGCAACCCCCGAATGCGGGCGGAAAACAGGCATTTTCAAAAGGGAAGGTCAGGCAAGATTGTAACGTCTGCGAAGGGTAAACACATAGTGCATAGCGATACACATAGCGATACTCATGGGGAGGGTCAGTCAGTTGAGTATTTCTGCATGTTGTACAGACGTCACGAATCAGCAGCAAAATCTATATATATATATATATGCATATAGCAAAGCCAAAGCCAAGCCATCGGTGACTGATACTCTTGGGCGGTAAATATGCACACTCAGCAGACGAGCGCTTGAATAACCCGGAGACCCGGAGAGCGACCTCGATTGCAGCAGAACTGCTTCTTGGCAGCAACTGCTGGCCTTTCGCTAAATGATGTTACCCGGTTTTTTTCATAGTCCACACACTCCGCACTCGGTGGTTTGTTTATGCCGATTCTAGGCCACCAGCCAGCCAATCCGAAATTGTTGTGGCAGGCACATATCTTGAGCTTCTTATAAAGCACATATCCATGATTTACATGCCTGCTTCTGTTCAAAAATAGGTACGATCATTAAAAGTGTGAAGGATTCTATGTGGGATATGATAGCTTTGGGAATATAATCCATATTCTATGAGAATTGATCATCTATAACCATCATCAACTGTCAAGTGTCAATGATAAAATCTTTATCTCAGATATGAAATTTCCTGAAGGATCTTAAAATGATATGAAACACAAAGATTAAAGATTACTGCAAATCGAACTATTTTCTAAAGTATAGAGGCATAATTTTTTAAAATCATCTAAATCAACTTGAAATATCGGTGATAAAATATTTATCACAGAAAAGTAATAACCTGAATGGTCTTAAAATGATATGAAACACAAAGATCCAACAATAATATAAATAATAATTACTGCAAATCGAACTATTTTTTAAAGTATAGAAGGCATAATTTAAAATCTGTTTGATACTTCTCTAATAGTACTAGGATAATAAATATTTTACTGAATGTATCTCAATTTTAAATGTTGATAGGATATTCTAGAAACCTAAATATAACTATAATCTCACCTTGTCAGCACCTCCAGTTCGATGGTGTCGAACTCCTTGAGCTGCACGCTCATCTTGTTCTTGGAGGGCGAGGGGCCGGCCTCCCGGAGCTTCCTATTGCGCTCCTCCTGCTCCTTGCGCTTCTGCTCCAAGGCAGCCTTCCTGGCCAGCACCGCCTTCAGTTCCTGCAGCTTGGCGCTGCGCGACACCTTCGTTTTCACCTCGTCGAAGGTTAGCTGGCGTCGCAGATCCACGCCGCCCGCCTTGATGGGCGAGGCGTCCTTGAGGATCTGCTTGGTGGGCGTACGCAGGCCGCGCTGCACATTGTCTGCATTCTGCTGGCTGGTAATGGTGAAGTTTAGCTTGGGTGTTTGCTCCGATAGCTGCTGCTGCTGCTGCAGCTCCTCCTCGTCCAGCTTGCTGGACTGGGCCTGTTTGCGGGGCGACAGGGTGCCCTTCTTGATGAACTGCACCAGCTTGGGCTGCTTGACGGGGGCCGGAGTCTTCTTCTTGCCGCTCTCCTGGGCGGCGGTCACAATCAGGCGGGCGGCAGTGCGTCCGGATCGGGTGCGCACGCCGCTGGCCATGGCCTTTAGGTTATCCATATCCGTGGTCTCCGCATCCTGGCCGCCCGCCGGCAGCTGTGAGGGGGCGGGGGCGATTGTCTCCGCGGGTTCCGCCAGACGCTGTGGAAAAGGAAGGGCATTTTTAAGATGGCTGCGCACTGGCAGATACTTTTGTATCTCATGGGATGGATCGTTTCTGGGAGGGATCTCTTACCCGGTTCTTCAAGCTGGTGGCATCGTCCAAGGCGGCGCGTTTGCGGTTGGTGAAGAATGCAGCTACCGATGGCTGGGCCATTTTGTTTGTGTTTATTTATTCCTAATTGCAACTGCAGGGGTGTGAAATTATTGCTTCTCCCTCTTGCTGTGTAATAAGCACACGTATGGGTTATTAATCACTAGTCTGGGTCACTTAATTTTCGGGTCACCACGTCGTGGCAGCGGACTGCTCGGATTACAACTGGCCACGATTTTTCACCGAATGCAGTTTCCCTCCAAAAACTAAAATTGCGCCAAAACGCTTCGAGTGTTACGTTGCGTTACGTTACGTTACTTTTACAATACTCACCAATCAGCTGTTTGGCTGCGGCGCCTTGCAACACTGCTCGCTTTCAGGGTTGCTTTTTCCGTAGCAGTTTTTTCCACTTGCGGATTTTTCGTTGTGCGCGTGTTTTTCACTCGTTTTAGCTGCATTTGCGGCCGCTGCAACGCCGGCGAACCGAGATGATAAGGGGCTAGTCCGCGGTGACTTGCGAAGCCAGGTAAGTCGAGATGAAATGCATTTTTGGGAGCCCTAAACGCTGCGCAAAAATTCCAAGCAATTTGGGTACTAGTGAGTGCGAGCGAGACGCCGCCAGCTGGCTGCAGCGTGCGAGCGGGACAGGCGAACGTGGATACGTAGTGCGTTTACGTTACGTTTTTGTCAATGCTATTTTCGTTGGTTCGAGTCCGCGCTGAAGAGACCTTGTTTTTAGTGATGCTCTCTCTAGCTACTTTTTAGCTATTTCTAGCTTTTTTTAAGGGTTATAAATACTTTACTTGAAAGTAATATTTTTATGAAAATAACTTAATATTATTGTAATCATTTTGTACAACATATTAACATGTCATATTGCACAAAATTACCAATTAGTTTAAAAAATGTCTATAGAATTATGAAAATGGTAACATAAAAAAAGGTTTTTTTAAATACTTTTATAAAGAGGCTTATAAAATTTTAGTTTTTTATTTAGTAGGAAATAAAGAAAAAATACACTTAATTAAATTTTATTTTTTAATTAAAATATCAAAAATTGGCTATTTTTACGCGGCATCACTGACTCCATGTTCTTCACAGTCTTTTCCAGAGCCCGATGGTATTTTGCGACGTTCGCGCTGCGGTCACTCTGGGCGTTTAGCGAAGATTTTTTGTGCTAATTTTGTGCAGAAATCGAAGCAGCAGCCGTGTTAATTGGGAGCCAGTGGGAGCCCGAGGCAAGTAGACAATTAGCTCGAGTTGGCCGATAAGTGTTTTCTGTAAAGCGGCCTAAAGAAAACTGGCCGAGAAAAACAGCGAAAAACAGAGGGGAAGAAACAACAAAAGCAAGAAAAACAGCGAGACAAGCGTGAACCTCGAACATTGCCTTATTGAGATTTGTGCACGTTGTCTGTTCTGTTTCTCTTCTTCTCCTCTCCCATTTGCTTTTATACTTCTGTTTTATCAAACCCTCCCCTAACCACTTTTATTCTGCTCTCCCTCCCCCACCCCGTTCGCCACAACAGCTGTTACACCTGGCGGAAATAGAGGGCATAATCGAGTAAAATAGAAGCCAAAAGCAACAGCGAAATGAACAAGGCTGACGTCAACCGCCGTGTTTTGGCCATTCAGGCGAAGAAGAAGCGGCATAAGAACAACAAGAAGCGGGGCAAGCAGAACGGCCAGCAGGATCCTCAATCGAATCCCGGCCAGAATCAGAATCCCAACTCGAACCCCAATTCGCAACCCAATCGGAGCAGCGAGAACTTGCAGGCACCGGATAATGCTAATAATAGCCACTTGGATGCGCCCATTTTGGCCACCGCAACGGCAACGGCCTCCACATCCAGCGGGGGATCCGGATCAGGCGGCACTCCCGACCAATATCAGCCAACCCAGCAGCAAACGCAACCCAAGACCAAGTCGAAGTCATCCAACGCGCAGAAGGAGCACCTGCAGCAGCAGCAGCCACCGCGGAGCAGCTCCAACGAGTCCTACGAATCCGAGCTGAACAGCGAGAACGAGGAGCAGGAGCTGAAGGAGGACTACTGCAAGGGTGGCTACCACCCCGTCAACATCGGTGACCTCTTTCAGGGTAAGGCACCTGTTAGCACCCCCCACATATTGGCCTTTTTCCACCCGAAACCGAAATCGAAAAAACCAGCAACAACAACAGGTTGCCCAGATAAATCGAACGCACAGCGGGTGGCTTTCCAGACCTCCGCCCCTTTTTTTTTGGGGCAAGGGTTGTTTTTCTGCCTCGTGTTGTGGCGACGACAACAATAGTAGCAGGGGGCGGGATGTGTCACCTCCAAACGTTGTCGCCCGGAACTCTACCCCCTTTGCTTGCATGTCGTTGCCAATATCCATTTTACAAGCGCCAGCTGCCAGATCCGCTTTCGCTGCAGCTTTTGGCGAAGGAAAATCCGAGCAATCACTAACCTGCGATAAGGGAGTGAGAGCCTGATAACAAACAAGCCAAACAAGCTACACAAAATCCACTGATAGTGCTGCATATTATGACATGAATCGACCAGGTTTCCCACTCTCTGGGTCTTCTTTGTAATCCAAGCGGATTAATAACAAGGAATGTTTATTAATAGAAACCTAATAGGTTTATAATATTTCATAGAAGAATGGAAAAGAGTAGGAGGATTATAAATACTTTTTATTTACTGCTATGAGTAATATTTCACGCTCTTAAAGTTGCCAGAAAATTCGAATTATCATGCGTTTCATAAAAATTCCACAAGAGTTTGCTTTACAATAAGTTTAAGTTACTTATTCAACGGCTCATACGCTATGATTGACTCAAATTATGATGGAACCTTAAACGCAATTATGTAGAAGGGCATCTAAGCAATTTTTTGGCATAGGTTTTATTACAATTGAGCGCAGATATCTTAAATTGAAACATTAAATGTTGCTACATTTTTTCAAATCTGCTATTAATCTTCAAACACAAACTTTTATTTTGATATAAACACACTCTAGATTGAGTAGGATTAATTCTAAGCTTAGGCAGCCTCTAAATTTTGTTAGAAATCAAAAATGTAACCTTTTGTGGAAACTTTAAGCCAACAGATTTTAATTGCGTTATGATAGGAGCAGCATGTCCAGCATTTTTCGGTCCCTTTCAGGCCTTTAGGCGGCGCATCCGAAGTTACCCCCTGCAAAAATATTGCACTCGACTGCAACTCGCAGTCAGATTTTAATTGAATTTAAGCGAGGTTCCCTCTCGCGGTTGGCTAGTCGCTGGGTCAGTCGTGATGCGACAGTGATGCGATTAAAATGGATTTATTGCCATCCGAGGCGAACATTTGTGATTTCATTTTCCTAAGTGGTTCTGTGTGGCTCCTCCCCCAAAAAAAACCCTTGAACTTTGCCCCTTGACGAGGAGAGTAGCACGAGATTAATGCAATTTTTGCTCCGCAGGTCGCTACCACGTCATCCGAAAACTGGGCTGGGGCCACTTCTCCACCGTCTGGCTGTGCTGGGATCTGCAGGAGAAGAGCTATGTGGCCATCAAGATTGTCAAGTCGGCGCCGCACTTTGCCGAGACAGCCAAGGACGAGATCAAGATACTCAGGACAGTGCGCGAGACGGATCCATCGAATCCACGCCGCCAGAAGACCGTCCAGATGCTGGACGACTTCAAGATCACCGGCGTAAACGGCACCCATATTTGCATGGTCTTCGAGGTGCTGGGCGACAATCTACTGAAGCTCATCCGCAAGTCCAACTACCGCGGCATTCCGCTGGGCAACGTGAAGACCATCACCCGCCAGGTGCTGGAGGGTCTGGACTATCTGCACACCTGCTGCAAGATCATCCACACGGACATCAAGCCCGAGAATGTACTACTCTGCGTGGACGAGCCGCATGTCCGTTCGCTGGCCACCGAAGCCACCCAGCTGTACTGCATGAACTCCAAGATGTATCCATCGCTGGTGAGCAGGGCGCCCAAGGAGTATCGCGAGCCGCCCATAACTGGCAAAATGAGCAAGAACCGAAAGAAGAAGCTCAAGAAGAAGGCCAAGAAGCGCATGGAGCTGTTCAAGAAGCAGCGGGACTACCTGGAACAGGCGGGCGGCCAGCCGGGCGAGGGACCGGGCCAGGATGCTGGTGAGGATCAGACAGACTTTGGCGTCAATCACAATGAGGTGCAGAACGGCGATGCTGGCATTTCCGATGGCGATGAGTACTTTGAGGTGAAGCAGGAGCCGGAAGACAATGATGACGACGACGAGGAGGAGGTAGCTGCTGAGCAGCCAGTACGTAAAGAGCGACACGAGCGCAAGGAGCGTCCGGAGCGCAAGGAGCAGGCACAGCAGCAGGAGCCACTGGCCGAGGGCGCTGACAAAGCCAAAAAGAAGAAGAAAAAGAAGAACAAAAGTGAGTGGAAATTAACTAGAACTAGTCGAAAGGGAATACACATATGTTTAGCCATGTTACTAGTTTTACAACCGCAAAATATGCATGAAAAAGTAGTGCGGCAGTTGTTCTTGTGGCAATAATACCACCAAAGTCAATTCTTAGAAAAAGTAGAATTAATTATACAAGTTTCAAGTTTTATTTAATACTTATTGTGCTTCTCTATTTTATTGTAATAATTATTTCTCTAATGCCAATTTTAAATTGTTTTATTCAGATAAATCCAACCAGCCCCAAGCTCAGCAGCCTCCACAACTGGAGAACTCTACGAGCAGCGGCGACAGCAGCAGCGCCCTCAAGAGTCACCAGACCAATGGAAGCAGTAGCATTAGCAACAGCAACACCAACAGCAACTCGAGCGGCACTTTGAAAGGACAATCAAACGGCAAGAAGATGCCGTTGCGGCCCAAGCAGGAGAAACAATTAGAGAAGCAACAGCAGCAGCAGCAGCAGCAGTCATCGAATCAGCAGCTGAACAACAACAACTCTAGTTCGAAGCCCAACTCGAACAGCAATTCGAAAATCTCAAGCGGCTCCGTTGAGAACTCATCGTCGGCCACCAATGGACCGTATTCGGAGCCCATGCTGCCACCGCCTCCGCCGCCACCGCAATCGAAGCACAGGGCACGACGGGATCCGGCGCTGGAGGAGTGCAGCGTGTACGTAAAGATCGCAGATCTGGGCAACGCTTGCTGGGTGGACCGCCACTTCACCGAGGACATACAGACGCGTCAGTACCGCTCGCTGGAAGTGATTCTCGGTTCCGGCTACGACACCTCGGCGGACATTTGGAGCACTGCATGCATGGTGTTCGAGCTGGCCACCGGCGACTACCTGTTCGAGCCGCACTCCGGCGATACCTACTCCCGCGACGAGGACCATTTGGCCCACATCATCGAGCTGCTGGGTCCCATACCGCGACACATTGTGTTCCGCGGCACCTACGCCCAGCAGTCGTTTAACCGCGGCGGCGAGCTGCGCAACATCACTGGCCTCAAGCCCTGGGGCCTGATGGACGTTCTGCTGGAGAAGTACGAGTGGTCGCAGGGCGAGGCGGAGTCTTTCGCTTCGTTCCTCAAGCCCATGCTGGAATTCGATCCGGCCAAGCGGGCCACCGCCGCGGAGTGTCTGCAGCACCCGTGGCTTAGATAAGATACGATGCAGCCTGGTTGTTGGCTGCGTGCCACCCAGCCAGCAACAGCAGATGGAGCAGCGGGAGCAGGAGCAGGAGTAGGAGCAGGAGTAATTGGCGGGGGCTATGTGGAATCTTCGGCATCGGTGGCTACTTTGGCTTCCATCTCATCAATTGCTTCCACATCGGCGGCAGCGAGGGCGGCGCTAAAGGCGCGTCCCTATCTGGTTGCACCCTTTGTGACCACAGCCTCAGCACCACCCACACCACAGCCCCACGTGTCCATTTCCACGAGCACGGCCCGCACAGCGCCAGCCACGCCCACACGTCGCCGCATCGCCCCCGAAGAGGATCTGGATTTGGTGGAGGACTTTGATGTGGCACTCGCTCAGATGGAGATGGAGCCGCAGACGCATGCCAAGAGCAAGTCGCAGCGATTCTTCTGGCGCAAGGCGCTGCGGCGCGTCTTCCAGCGCCGCAAGTGACGGCGTCGCCGGCAGGACCTGCCCAGCTGGCATCGTCCCGCCCGTCGCTGTCGTCGCCGCAACCTGGCCGAGCGGGTGAGGCGCATCTGCGCCTGCTGTGCCTACGGCCAGGTCCTGCTGCGCGCAGCCCGCGTGGCCCTGCTCAGCTGCATCCGCTGGCGAACCCGTGGCAACATACGCAACAACAACTTTTACTTCAGCAACCACTAGAGCATCAGCATCAGCATAAGCATCAGCAGAATATGCCAGCCAGTTTAGCAAACCGCAGCAGTCGCTAATCTCCGTGCTCCAGCTAACTCGAGTTACGTTTAAAGTTAATGAATAACCATTCGATTTAGTTTTACACACACACACGCCAGCGCTTAATTTATTTCCTGTCTTTTACATCGACAATTAGACTATTTTTTGTTGCTACATATGAAATTATAAATTGTATTACCGCCTACACGAACACTTCCCCACGAATCCTGTACATAGGGTCGATAGTGCTCGATCCCATTATTCAGTTTAAAGGTTTTGAAGCGACGCATAAGAGAGCGAAAGTAAAGCGATAGCATATATCTGTTACTGTACATTTAGCCCAGAGGCGAATCGGCAAATACACATTTATATAGCGTACCATAGTTAAATGAACTGGAGTCGATCCATCGACCGGTGTCTCACTCGCTCGATCGTCGTTTCGACGGGCCTGTGAGGCATCGCAGCTGGATTTTTATTAGCATATGTAAATGTACATGGATGCAGAAACTTGAGCTGAACATAACAATAATGAGAACGTAGTTAATTAGTTTATCCTCGGCTTAGTGATCGACGTGAACAATTTGAAATGGCATTAGTAACCATTAAAAACGTAACGTAACCTGAAATAGAAAAGCGAACGCACTACCAGCAACAACCACAAGTGAAACGAATCCTTATCCCCAAATCGGAACTAATAAGCATACAAATATAATTAAAAGTAGCCGCCACTAACAAAAGTATTGTTCAACATTAAATACTAGCGCAAAAATAATTGCAGCTTTATCGGATAGACAAATATTCAAGACACAGAAACACTAAACACTGAAATTTGGCACATTTATCAATACTAGAGCCACACAAAATTTATGGAATCTTTATCAACCACTCTTAAAACACACGAGCATATACCTAGAGGCCACTTTATTTAAGGCTAGGAGCTAAAGCGATTTTTTCAATAGATACGATTCGACCCGGAGCGGTAGTTAAGCTAAAGCGAGGGATTATCAGAAATGCGAAGATGGCAGGGGATGTGTGCATAACTGACTATTGACTATATACGAGTACGTACACACATATATATGGATAAGTGGCCTTATTAATTCGGTTCTCCGCACCACAACACCACGCACCACCACAGAACACAAAACCGCACGCACCCAAAGCAAATTAAACCGCAAACGATACTAACCAGTCCCCCAGCCAATCTGAGAAAGCTATTGCGCGAACTAAGAAGTTAATGAATTAGGTATGAATATTATCGTAACTTGAGCAGACATTATTGTAACTAGACAGCCTAGCCAGCTAGCAAGCAGATATCAATCTAAAATTAAACTAAATTAAATGTCCAAGTTGAAGGAGAATTAAAGAATGAGACGGTTCTTAGTAGAGTAACCTGCAGTCGATCTTCGATGTTGTCATCAAGTTAATCATAACATAAATGCAAATTCAACACTCTTCGGCTGGCCGATGTTTCGAAAATACTACGCATATACTCTTTGAAAACCGCCAAGGCTTCCTAGCGAAGCGACTTAACTTGGCATCGCAAGTGGAAAATCCAGCGCAGATGACCGCTTCTAAATGAATTTCGAACCGGAATCAGGAACCCAGCTGCCGAATTGCAATTCCAGTATGTTCTCACGCTTTCAAAGAGTATAATTATGAATTATACGGTACGATACATAATTTATTGATGTAGTTATAAACAAAATAAACAACAAATTACACAAATTGGAAAACAATCGACACTGTTTCTTTTTTATGGTCTACGAGAGTTTGTGTATGTGAACAAGCAGCCGAGAAAATCTATCTATCTTTTGGCCATAAATTTCCGCCAGCTTACAGGACAAGCAAAGGATTCGGATAGAGAGACGGCTATGCTGGCGATTTATGGTCACATAAAATGCACAAAAGCTTTGAAGTCCTCAATGAATGGTTTAAACGAGGGGTGACCTTCGACTGGCACACATTAATTCCGTGTTATATCCCCAGTCCAGGAATTCATCACGTTTGTTTGTCAATGGCTCGAAATTGAATTTTATCCACACGTGCACCCGAATTTCCAGAGACCAGAGAAGCGGAGCGATAGCCAGTCGTTAAATGCTATGCACATATTTGTGTCTTTGTAGCTCAATGGCAATGGCTCAATGGCAATCCCTGTGCCCAGGTGCCCAGGCATATATATACCTCGTGCGAGTATTCCACCTATGTACCTTCAACTTGAGCGGAAAAGGCCAGCGCCCAAGGCTCCGAGAAGTCTCAATGGCATCCGCATCCGGCGAAAGTTAAGTTCTTCCTCTGCTGTTTGCCTTTGCCTTGGCCAACTCTCGAGCTCCCGGGAATTGATCTTAGACAAATTCGAAGAGCTCATCGCACACACAGGCATTTGGTATTTGGTTTATTGTTGGCCAAAGTTTTGGCTAAGTGAAAAGTGCTCTGCGTTTAAGCAGGGGATCAAAGTTGTATACGAAGAGTTCGAATGCAACTTGTTAGGAGTGCAAATAAAGGGAAGTGTGGCTATGAAGTTAACCATCAATTGATAAAAACCGCTGCTTATAATAATTAAAGAATTCGTTTTAGATGATGAAAAACAACATTAGTTTAACTTAGATTTATTTAACATTATTGCCGAATTATTTTGTAATAATTTTATGTCAATCCGTTCTGGGTGATTTTTGTTTTTTATAGCGACTCTTTTATATTAATTTTATATTAAATTAATTTTTATTCCGGCTGTATACAATCCTACATTAAAATGTTTAAAGTTAGAGTTCAACTATTTGGTGGGATTTAATTACGATCAATTAATCACATTATTAAAAGCAATTAGTAAATAAAATATATATTTTTAAAGCCATTTAAAAACGAGAAATAACCATTTAAAATTGTTAATCCATATTTTTGACCCTCCTTGGTTCGAGTCCAATAACGCTTGAGCACTTCCCAAATGAATTACATATTCTCCCGCTTCTTGTGAACTTGCAAATACTTTTTAAAGCTCTCACAGTTGAGTTGAAGTCCTTAGGTTTGGGCATTCAATTTCATTTGCCCGAGAGTTCGGCAACAAAACCAAACCCGCTTTCAAATGTATGCTAACGAGACCTGCAGTCCATGGGACCAGGAGCTGGTCCTTTTCCACACCCACATCCGAATCGGGATTTGCTTATAAATGTCCAACAAATGACAAACTTGACAAAACAGGGACGGCAAAAGTTTTTCCCATGGCAAAGGAAACTCGCAAAGGAAAACTCTTCAGACAACTCGGTCAGAAGTTTTGCGGAGCATTAGAATAAACCCAAACAATTGTGTGTCCTAGTCGTCCATCAGCCATCGGCCTTGATGATCGATATTTGTCACACACAGAGGGACAAAAGGGAGCTGGGAACTTTTAAAAGGTCCTTTTTGTGGATGCGGCGAAGCGCAAACGATTATTCAATTTGCACTCGCTGAATCTGAGCTCTATGGGAAGCGTTTAGCGTCGCCGACCTCTGTATCCCCCCAGATATCCTTCCTCCCGGATCGTTGCGCACTTCCAAATGTCCTTGTTGAAAATGCCAGCGAGTGGCATACTGATGACATTAAGTAGCTGTCGGGTTGGTCAGGATTAGATAGCAAAAGTGCCTGATGTTAGTTTAAAGTAGATAAACAAAAGCGGATTCACCCCCTCAACACAGCTTCTCGTTTCTGTCTGTCAAGCTGCCCATTGTTGTTGCTGCTGTGTCGACATTTGCGGTGTCTACGGTGCCTGTGTGGGCAAACATGGCCTACAGAGAGCAAAAATATCATTATTATTCTACCCCAAATATTTATAGATATTTTCAAATACTATGGAATTTATTAAATATTTATGACATAATTTAGATTCTGTATCCAGAATTTGGGGTCATTTAGATGTTAGGTTTTTAGAGTACCTATACTTAAGGTAAATTGTGTACTTTTTATAACTTGTTCCTCTTTTAACTTAGTTTTTGAGATTTTTAACGTTGTGATTAAAATATTTTTTTCACGTTTTATTTTATTTTGGTAAATATATATTATCGTAGATGTTATTAGGTTTTTTCTGATATTTTAAATTACTCTAGGGACTTTTTTTTGTTCTTAGTGCTGTCCTAAAGGCAAAGGTTTTATGTGGGTTGGTTTGTCAACCGCGTATCATTGTGTTCACAAAGACTAACCTTTTGGTTCACCCAAAATTTTCCTTTCATCAAAAGCAGATTTTAGAAATGCCAATTAAATTGCATAAAAATTCTTGGTAGTTCCTAATTGGTCCTAAGTCTTTTGATGAAAAAGTTTGGTTAATTTTGTATCTGGCTGTTTTGCATTCCTTGATGCATGACTTGATTTTTAATCCTAAATCTGGCCAAATGCACTATCACGAACTCTCACTTTTGCTCATATATCCCCTACTCTCTACTTTTTAAATAGGCAACCACTTGTGGGCGCGAAAATCATTCATATATTTTTCGGACTGACTCCGAAACTTTTCAGTCAAAGAGAATGCATATTGTTCTCTCTTTGACCCACTGAACGGTTCTCTTTGGTTGGGAAAACACTTTTCATTTCAACCTCAAGATGTTGTTTGTTAGTTTGGCTTTTCTTTAAACGCCAAGGAACTGCCCCCGTAAACTTTTCCAACAGAAAGGGAAAACTTTGCGCTACTTGCCACTTGAACTTTAATTTTTGGGGGCGGGCGAAACTCCCGACTTTTCAGGGGAGTGCTCCCAACATAGAGCAAAGTTTCCATGCTTAACACCACCTCTGTAAATATTAAATTGGGGGAAAGTGGACTTAATTAAAATCTATGTGCTGTGGCCAGAACGGCAGTGAACTGTTGTCCTCACAACACCAACCATTGCGAAACCACAAAGGCTCGATGAGCCGAGGAAAAATGCCACACAGAAATTCCCGGCTGAAATGGCAAAATGAGATATAAAATGAGATATCCGTGCTATGTGGAAAAACGATGATATATGAAATATTTCCAATACAAATACTGGTTCAACAGCAGTCCGAATCGTATTTATTATCCCTTGAGGAAATGGTCATCTGCTGGCATCATAAATTTATGAAATGCATTTACAAAGCGTGTAGTAATTGTGGGTTATGGGTCAGGGGAGCGGAGATAATAAAATCGAATGTCAATTGAATTGGTCGAAATCAAAAGGGAAATAAACGATGGCCACTTGATTAAATTTATATTTCTTCTGTCCGGATTCCAGCAACAACTGCCAAATACACACATGACCCTCGGGGGGAGAGTGCCGAGTAGAGGAAGCCTTTTGGAGGATACGTCACTATCAGATGCCACTCCGATTCTGGTCCTCCCTTTGTTCTATCGCCCCTTCACCAGCCATTCGAAGCTCAATATTTACTTTCGCCCTGCAAGGAGGCG